TATATATATATATATATATATATATATATATATATATATATATATATATATATATATATATATATATATATATATTAGTAGTAGTTTGTCTGAAACAGTCGTAACAGTCTATTGTTGTTTTTGTACTCCACACACTAGCAATCTCTCTAGGTAAACATGCACTGTTAAATGTCTGCCGAAGTTGCTTACCGAGGGCGGCTGCCGCCAGTAGCCGTATGGTGAGGTCGGGCGCGGGGCATGGCGCGAAGAACGGGTACAGAACGTATGTAGCGAACGTGATGGCGGTGACGGCGTGCGACGTCGGCCGGACCACGATCAGCTCCACCCACAGTCTCAGGAAAGCCGCTAACGGTCCGAATATCTCCAGTATGTAGACGTAGTCGCCGCCCGACTTGGGGATGGTGGTCCCCAGCTCGGCGTAACACAGGGCCCCGAGAGTGGACAGGACACCGCACAGCGCCCACACTACCAGGGACAGGCCCACCGACCCCGTCTGCTGGAGGACTCCCTTCGGCGAGATGAAGATCCCAGACCCGATGATGATTCCGACTATGATCGCTACTCCGTTGAAGAGCGTTATCTTTCTCTTCATTCGAACGGATCCCGGTTTGTCAGCCTGGTCCTTCCCATCGGAGACTTCTGCAGACGCCGCCGCCGCGGACTGGACATCAAACCCCGCAGCTTTCTTCCCCATGACGCCGTTGTGAAGTGTATAACACACGGTCAGACTGCGCAGCAACAGGTCTAAAATGTCGTCAAGTGCAATCAATTCGGTTATAAAGGATCCGGAGGTTTTATGAAGAGCAAATACGCGTGATGTAACTGCGGCGTGGACTTGCGTATTGAAAACATCTGTTCACCTAAACCTGAAGTTTGTATACTAGTACCGCCCCAAAAGTCCGGGCGCGACCACCTGTTGGACATGGGGGTGATCCATACTGCACCCTCTGCATGAAACTAAAATTGACAATTTTTTATAAAACTGTTTGGTTGCAAATACGGATGAAAGACGTTTGTACATGAGAGCCTTTTGCCAAGGAATATATTACGTCCAATAGGTAAACAGTAATATATATCAGACACAGAACTCAGCTTTCATACCTAGGTGAACTTTGGCCAGGTAACCCTCCCGCTGCTGCTTGGCACGCAGTCAGCCAATCTGTAATCATTTACCAGGTCCGACACAATTACCACCGGTTGTGACTCGAGAGCCACTCGTGTGGACGATAATGATGTCAGAAAGTCGTCAGGGGAATGAAGTAGTCATAGACATATTCGTGTACACAATGATGAATAACGTCACGAAATACATTGCTGCGGATGACAACAATTGTTTTGTGGTGTGATGAATCTTTTTAATTTAATTCGATAACTGGGTTCATAAATGTCTGGCCATCCTAAAAGATCTACGTGCCATGGAATGAATTCCGTTTCCTAGTCTGGCTTTATTTTGTCACAACGACAACGTTTGGGTGACAGTAATACCCGCATCAGGACTGTTTTCTTTGGACCAGGATAGACAATGTGCCAACACAACCCTTCCATCTAGTAATTCTCAATTCAAAGGAGTAGATCTGTACCCCCACTCACTCACTCACTCACTCACTCACTCACTCACTCACTCACTCACTCACTCACTCACTCACCTCACTCACTCACTCACTCACTCACCTCACTCACTCACTCACTCACTCACTCACTCACTCACTCACTCACTCACTCACTCACTCTACTCTACTCACTCTCTCACTCACTCACTCACTCACTCACTCACTCACTCACTCACCGGCACTCACTCACTCACTCGGGAATGAATGTAGGTTAATAATAGCACCCCTTTCCGCTTGAATTCCTGACGCCTATGTCCGGGATATCAGGGATTCCCATCCGGCATTCCCCTACCCTGTTACGTGTACGTAAATGCAAATAATGCGGACTTTTGATTCCTAGTCCAAAAGAGCCAACTTTTCGTCTGATGGCTTCAGGACCCAATTTCCGTTTCATTGAAAGAAACCGACACTTCTGGTAAAAGACAATGCATACTATGGTCATGTTACAATAACATTGCGGTATATTCTATCTAAATGTCAAGGTCACACCGAAGACACGGAATTTAGTCCTCAGTTCCAGGCCGGACGACTACCCCCTTGTGGGACACTTCCACTGTGGGCTTTGTGACTGGGGTCTTTGTGTGCTGTTCTCTGATAGTCACAGTGTACCTTCTGAGGTCTCGCTGATTTCTAACAGCCGTTGTATAAGCCACAAAATCCAAAGCCTGCTTACTCGGAGACTATGCCATGGTAGCGTGCATGGTCATTGACCTAAGCCACGTGTGCCCGTGACCTAGATCTATAACCTCCTGACATTGGAGTGGTCCATGACGACATAGCACACAGCTTCAGGTTTAATTTGTAAGGCACTCAATGTTGAGGCTAATTATCATAAACATTCTTTTCCGGTCATTGACGTCCACTCGTATGCCATGCTTGGCCGAACTTGACAGGCTTTTGGGTTCTTTAATAGGTCACCACTAACGTCCATGGCCCATGACCAAAGGCCATGCGGGAACAAAGCAGCTGCCGTGTAAACATAGAGAAGTTTGCAACAATCTTTACACTTTGAAGCGCATGGCCATGGGCTATGAAGACACCTATGACCCTGTGTGTGTATGTACAACGCTTTTTACTAGAGACGTATGCACTTCATACATGTTTCGCCAGATGTCTTCACTCGTAAGTTGGAATGAAAGTTACACGTGTGTCCACACTTGTCAGTGTAAACCTTATGTGAATGCGTACGGCCGGCTACGGGGTATGGGAAAACAGACTTCGTTAACGTTTGCCGCCCATTCATATTGCCGTCTGATTATATTGTCATCACAAATTAAAAACATCATCATCGGGCAAAGTCTACTGTTTAATAGCGTTTTGATTGCAGGTAAGGTACTGTCCCAGAAACTAGGCCACTGCGTGAGGTCCTTGCCCTTTAGAGTGCACGTGATTGAATATTCCACCCAACTCGTCCATTGGTCGACAAAGAGGGCTAGGAAACCCTTATCAGCAATTGGATTCTCAAAACAACAACAGATTAGTTCTGTTACAGAATAGACCTATTGATGGGAGTAGTCTGAAGATTTTCCCGCGTTTCTCACAGAAGACATCAAACTGGTCAGTATACACTGCCCCCAGACTGGTTCTGAAGTACAGAAAAAAGTGGTAATGCAATAGTAATCTATTAGTTCCGAGCCTTCTTGTTCCGAGCATGGAGGTATAAGTTGAAAAGGCCTCCATGTTCCGAGCGAGATCGACGGAGTGCAGGGAATCCCTGTGAATCAGCCAATCACCATGAAAAAATACATGCCCTGTGTCCCCAAGAAAGGATTGGCACATCATATGGTGACAGATGACTTGGGATTGACTTATTTTTGGGACATAGATTTGTCCGGAATTAGTTCCTGGGAGTGAATGCAGGTCATTGACCTATTTGCCGGACAGTAGAATTAGGTCAGACTTCGGTATGTCCCGAAACTAGGGCAGCAATCTGTCAGTCCCAAACTCAGCGTGGGGACAACCGTGTAAAAATGAAAATATAAACATTCTCATAGCTGTAAAATAAGTCTATATCAACCGTTATCTCTATAAAAACAACAGCATGCATGAAAATGCACTAGAGCAGTAGTGTCAAAGGAAAGCCGTAACTTTTTTTTTCTTTTTTTCTTCGAACACCCAACCATGTCCACCCCTGTGTTGTGTTCAGGTGGTACAGTCAAAGTAAGTACCATACAGATCTCACGTAAACAAGATATAACACTGGTCATCTCAATTTAGGAAAGTCACTGGCCATTTGGAATGTCAAGTAAAAAGTAACATTTTGCATTCAAGTTTCACATCAGTGCGCAGGTCTTGGTGTAAGGAGTATAGTGATATGAAAATTATTGTTCTGCAGTATTCATAACTTTAGATATCATTTATAGAAAATGCAAACAGACCGGCGGGTTTTTCAGCACCCCGACGGGGCTAACAGCTACCCCGTCAGGACCAAAGCACAGGACCGTCGGTGTAAAGTACTTACCCCGTCAGTGTAAAGTACTCACCCCGTCGGGGTGACACTGTCATAATCACTAAACCCGACGGGGTAATGTCACCCCGACGGGGTGGGAGTTCTGGTCAAAGAGGTGCAAAATCCCAAAACAAAGCCAGGAAAGGCGTGAATTGATCAGTCCATACACACCGCCGGGGCAAGTTTACCCCGTCGGGGTGAGATCAGATACCCGACGGGGTAAGCTCAGACAGTCATCCAATCCAGTTGATGTGCAAAATCGACATTATCAGGACAAAGAATAAGTATGGAGAGCACAATCCACACGCTTCTATTTGCCCCTTTCAGCCAACTAAGGGTCACAAAAAAGAAAGATTCCAGAGAGCTTACAAACACACACTCACTACTCCAAAGCTGATGTCTAATAGAATTTTACCATCAATATCAATATTGACTGAAGGTCAGGCCATGTTAAATAATACTTAAATTTATTTCCTTCTATTTGTAACAATTGAGATAGAACACACAGGTCTTGCAAATAAATTGTTCAAGTTCCTCAATTGCTATTACACTGGCCACAATATTCAGGGATCGAAATTAAGGGCTTCATATGGTCATAATGGTGTCGAGCAAAATGCCTTAGCTGGTCAAGAATGGGAGCAATCTCTGATAATTGTCATAAAAAAGGGAGGTTCTCTCTTTTACCTCCTTTGTCTGAGTGGATGGAGGCCCTTTGTTATAATGTCTGTCATTCAAAATACACACTGCAAGCAGTGCAAATCAGGACTCACTATTCTTCTCAGATATTTAGAGGCATCATGATAAGAAATATGTTGTGAAACTAGGAAGTTGGAACATACTTTAATTTTGAACCTTGGTACCACCAGGTGCAGAGTATTTTTGTGAGGATGTCATGAATGGTGTAACCAAGGAGCTTTAAAAAGCTTGGTGTGACAATAACTTGCTGAGAAACTTGACATTGTGTGTATTTTGTCCCATTGTTCTGCCTTGGTAGACAAGTTAATTGGCTACATTGTTTATATTGAGATTTTTTACAGTGAAAGGAGTTTCATCAACGTTAATGAATGCTCCTTTCAGCCACTTTGTAACTTTGTAGGTACTTTGTAGTAGACACACAAGCGGCCATTGGTGCCCTGCAAAATAGTCTTACTGATTACATCCTACATTCATATTTCCTGGCCGTTTGGAGAAATACTTGACTTATGTGTTTTGTTTACTGTACTACGGTCAAAATATACTTCTGTAAATGGGGAGAGACAACACTTTGGGTGGGTGGGGACATTTTGTAGCATGGTCTGTTCCATCAAGGAGCTCTAAAATAAAATTTTAAAGCTCTTGGTTCCATTTCCCGTAGGTAGGATCTCCAAGCAGATCAAGGCTGTAACCATTGGCCAAAGAAGAGACCATCGGCCACCCAATAATGGTCACCCCTTTGGCCTTGGGCAATGTTACAGCCTTGTCACAGTAGGATCTGCTTGGAGATTATAGGTTGGTGGGTGCGATGTTGTTTGAAAAAAAAAGTGATTTTGCCTTTCTCCGATAACTTTCTTTTCTATAGACCCTGGAGTATTTTCTACATTACCACAGCAAATGATTTAGGAGGAAGGACACAATCACTGTCCTTTCAAAAAGTTTGCCTCTGGTGTGACGTTCCAACTTCACGTTGAGGTGTCAATTACCCCCAATTTACATAATGTGCACTGGCTTGGGTTGGCTTGAGACCTTTTTGGTGACTGGAAATGAAGTACATGTACTAGTTACTAGCTCCAAGCAGATCCTAGGGTGGCAAAAAGACAGTATGAAATTGGCCTGGCAGTATCTATTAGCCCAATTTGCCTTGGGTTGGAGATAAGAAATAAAGGACTTTGAGTGGGTTGATTTTGATTTTAGCAAATTTTCAGGAAAGAAGCAGGAATTTCAGTGGCAAAGCAACAGATTCAATTTAAGTTTACTCTAAAAGTGGGGAAAAACAATGTTACGTATTCAATCTTTAAAAAGAGGTTAGAATATTCCTTAGAATCTCGCCAACCTGGTTGAAAAAAAAGTTTACCTATTGTAAGCACTATTCACATGTGACATTTATTCAAAATGCCAAACAAATGGAAAAACCTGGAATTTGTTTATATTCAGTCTTTGTTTTGGTCCGTCCATGTATGGGCAATTCTTGTGCTGGCGGGCCAATTGTTTTTGACCTGGAAATTGAAATAAGATTGAAATATAAGTGGCAAAGTTGTTCTACTAAGATATATCCAGTTTTGGCAACAAAATCCTTAGATACATATGAGCCTAAATACTAGACTAAGTATGTAAGCAAGAAGCCTAATATTTACAACTTGAACCTGCTTTCAAAGCAAGGAATTATACAATCCTCTATTTCTGTTCAAGAGCACCCATCCGGTAATTATTCTGCTCCAGCTACAATTGTTATGCGGGTTAAAAGTAGGTCAGCTATTGTTCTTGACATGCAAATGTCACTGTCCAATTATCAACTTGATACAAATTATCCTATAAGGGAGTATTGTTGGATTACATGCAAAATTCCTGGTACCCATATCTGGGCAGCTTGTACTGGGTCACCCAGGAAAGGCCTGAAAAGATAGCCCATGCATAGATGTAATTGTTTTCAAAAAAAATTACCAACACATTGACTTTTTGGCCCTTCATCTGGTCAGATTTACTGTAAGGCATTTCTAAATTTCAATGCATGAAAGGGGATAAAGGTCTCAAAATACTGAGTGCATAATACCTTTAGTTAGTGCACCTGGTAAGATTGGGACTGTGCAGGTATTTCTGATGTCTACGTGGCACCTAACATTGAACTTAGCCATATTGGTTAAGCTTAATAGGTACATGTAGTAGTAGGTGCATTTTTGTTTGCTGCATTGACTGTTAGCACCTAATAGTATGAAGTATAAAAAAAAATTAACAGCAATGACAGTTTTTATCATGATGCATACTTCTCAAAGTCTGATTAAGTGCAAATTTTTTCTTCTTTCTCGTCTGGTCCAGGTAATGTTTACTGCACCAGTGCAGGTATGCAGTGAAAAATATTTCAAGCCCTGGGGTATTCTGCTAATGATAGATGAGTTTATCCATGGAGTTTGAAAAGTTGTTATCAAAGTTTATTAAATTTTTAGCCATATCCAAACTCTATTCTTAGTCTTAGCCAGGTGAGATACAAAGTAGGTTATAACCTTCTTGCTAGAATTCATCCTATAGTGAGCTAAGTATTGGTGGACAAAGAGTCGATGAAAGACTAGATTTTAGATTTTTAACCTCCTTGTATGGACCTACTGGATTGTACACATGTATATGGCACTCATGTGGAGCAGGTTGACTGGTCAATCACATCCATTCCTGCCATGCTAGATCTCCATGACTCGTTTGTATCTTTGAAGACACTTTCATCAATTCATAAGAGAAAATCCTGGAAAATACAGTCTAGAAAAACTGCAGGAATACACACTCAGAACTACAATAATGAAGTGATATAATAAACTTTGCATAAACGGCCATCAACCTAGAAGAAAGTTTAATGTTAATCTTTCAAACTTCATTGGGACTTTCAGTCTGGTCTGAAGGCTTAGGCCATTAGCCCAGCCTGTTCATGATCCTGACACACCGACGGGGCTGTTCAACACACCGACGGGGCTGTTCAACCCCGGCCGGACTAACCATTGAACCCAGACTTCTCATGAATTTATCACAAACTTGCTAATTACACAGGTGTGAAGATGGGAATTCTCATTAATTCAGTGGTTTTCATGGAGTGTTCATGAGGATAATTGGATGCGGTCTGGGAGCGGGGTAGCTGTGCACCCCGTCGGGGTGAAGTTTATTAGGGACGGGGTGGGCTTCTGATCCCGTCGGTGTGTCTTTTACACTGGCGGGATTGCAATTTTTAAAGTGAAATATCTTGACAAATATGTACATTTTGACTATAAAAAAAACAACCTGGTACTGAGGATAACATGATCTTTCAAATGGTATGAAAAAGATTACTGTACATGCAGGAATAACAAAGTTGAAAATCAGGGATTTCAACATGGCTGTCTTGAAATTCGGAAAGTGACATTCCAAACTTGAAGTGACCAGTGTTATATGTACTATATGTACGGTTCTGCCGTGAGGTCGACAGTGAGTTCACAAGAACAGCTCTGAGAAACAGAGTGTCATTGGAATAGGGAAAGTACATTTTGTACTAGTATCGATCACTAGTAAGCAACAGAAGACTTTCACAGCTTTTCAAAGGTGCGTTTTGTGTTTCAATGATCTACTTTGACCGTTAATGACCACTAACAGCTATGTTTTGTACAGATTCATTTTGTCTTGAACATTGTATGCTGTGCCTTTTATGTCATCTTGTGGCAGGAAGTCGGTGTTTTCGATTTAAATTTCACATCTTCAAATGTTACGTTAAAATGAAATGCTGGTAGGGGGCGTGATCTAGCAAGTGCGTAAAATGCTAAAACAGTTGAGTCAACATATCGACTAGTAATGTTTTTACTGCAGAGATTCGAAGGATGATTAGATGTTTTTCTCCTATGTTTAAAGATAGACTAAATTATCTAGACGGTATGTTTAAAGACCTACTTGCTGGCCATACATAGTCTCGCTTGCATGCAAGGCGCAGGTATGGTTACAAACACATGTTACATGGAAGCAAGGCGCAAATCGACTGGTTGCATCTCTCAGCCGCGCGTCTGCAGCTGGTAAGCGAGGCTAGTCAGTCAGACGAATTCAAACAATGAGTAAGATTATGAATGCATACGTATTGTTACAGACGAGCATTTTCTTGTGTTCTGAATCATTAACAAAACATGAGTAGGAAACGTTGTAAGTAGATATACTCGAGGGTTGAAGGATAGTCGACCTATGACCATATGTAGGAAAGGCGCTACCCTTCATATTTTGTAGAAAAACAGCCCATTTTTCGGGACAGTGCACATTCCACAATTCCATGCCCAGTACGTAGTCGCCTCCAGCCTACATGTTGGGACACACGCACGCCATCGTTTGAACCACCTGCTCCAAACTTGAGCTCCGCGCAGATATTATCTTTGGCTTGCCTGGAGCATTTTTTTTCGCAGCGTTTCACTTTTTCCGCGATGCTCTAGAACCCAGGCCCAACGTCACAAGAAAGGCTTCCAAAACTCTGCAAAATACGCTCAAAGCAAGCCAACACCTGCTTAAAGATTAATTGTCGCACGTTGTTCAACAACGATAAACGATGGTGTGTGACCCTAGATGTAGGTTGAATGAGGACATCACGTGTCTTAGAATGATTAATTGCTTCTATCCTGACACCCCCTTTACTTCTGTGTGGTACGCCCCGGCGCTATAAGCAGCCAATCAACAATGACCTGAGTGAGGTAACAGTATGTAGTCCTACATTATAGTGACTACTGAACTAACAACACACCACATGTGAATATATGAAGAACTCACAGTTGATAATAACATTTTCATCAGTGCAGGTGAACTGCTGAGACGAGATGAATCTGTGTGTACAAGTTCTGTTGTTCGGCACTTTGTTGCCAGCGGTGTTGTCCGCCCGCATCGTCCATTTGGTGCCTCCGTACAGCCGAGGGAGTCACTTCTCGGTGGCGTCCCGAGTGGCCGAGGGTCTGGCGGACCGAGGGCACGACGTAACCATGGTGTTACAAGGAGAGGGTTACAGAGGCGTCAGTCACAAATACCGCGTGGAGATGACCAAGTCAGCCTTCTCGGAAGACGCAAAGGAGGCCAACTTTCAGGACTTTCTGTCCCAGACCCTCGCTGGTCAGTACGACTCCGACATGGTGTCCAAACTCTTCGGACACATGGCGGACGAATGCCAGGCCATGCTGAACGACAAGGACCTTTTCCAGGCCGTAAATTCGTCCATGTTCGACCTTGCAGTGATCGACCCGTTCAACTTCTGCCCGTACATCTACGTCCAGCGGCTGGGCGTCCCTTTCGTCGTGTTGGACGCCACACCGGCGTTCTTTAGCGGCCGTAACGCCTACCTGCCCTCTCCGCCGACCTACGTGCCCGCCCTGTCCTCCCAGCTCACCGACAAAATGGACCTACTGGGTCGTCTGAAGAACACGCTGCTGGGGCTGGTGTCGTCTGCCATGGACTCCTACATTCTGTCACTCTTCGATAATCTCCGGCTGGTCCACGGGATCTGTCCTGACCTTCCCTTCCCACAGATGATGAGCCGGGCGGAGTTTTGGATGTTCCAGTCGGACGTGGCGCTCGACTTCCCCCGGCCAACCATGCCGAACGTGCAGTTCGTCGGAGGCCTGACAGCTCGGCCGGGAAAACCTTTACCTCGGGTGAGTACATACTCTGGCATTTATCTTCAGTTCTCACAGATCTGCTAATGATGTATCATCTTTAATATCATATTCGGAACTAAGTTTACAAGTAATGGTCTCTTTTATGATGAGAGACAACCTAGTGTAATACCTGGGCCCTGCGTGGCCAAAGAAAGACTGGAGTCAGTCAATGGAGGGGTTCCTCTTTAGAAATGAAGAAACACGTGGAATGAGGTTTCTTTTGTCATACAGGAACTGGCAGAATTTATGGAAGACTCAGAAGACTATGGCGTCGTGGTGGTGTCCTTTGGCTCGGTCATCGACCACATCCCCGACCGGGCGCTCCTGGAGAAGCTTGCGGGCGGTCTCGCCAGGCTGCCCCAGCGGGTCGTCTGGAAGTTCACGGGCGTGCCACCGTCCAACCTCGGCAACAACACAAAACTCATGGCCTGGCTGCCGCAGAATGATTTACTAGGTATTGCATGCCCTCCAGTGCTTACATAAGGTCAATAACCTGCTATTATAGTAATCCTTTAATGTTGGGACTCGACTTACACCAGGAAGGTTATCCTTATAACACCCTTTTATACGTTGTCACACATATTTTCTCTAACATACAGTTGTACGTATATACGTGTACACTAATATGGAGAAAAAGGAAAACTTTGCGGTGGAAGCTGAAATTAGGGTCATCATTAGTTGTAATTTGCATATTCCTTACATCCATGATAAACATTTAGCCCTTTGTGTCGCCAAATGGGTGCCCCTTGGGTGTATGTAGACAGGTGGGGGAACGAATGTATTCGACGGAGAAATTCTATAAATATTCCTAAGCATGTTTTTTCCTTTACTTCTCGTGTTTTTCACCCGCATGGAGTAACGTTATCCCGACATCCGCCGCTGGTCTCTGCGCGCCGCCGAATATTTATTGACCCGATAGGATGCGACCAAATCCACATCCGTCAGACGTAACCTCGCTTTAGGGACACAGTAAAGGTTACTCCCGTTCAAAACGGTCGATGTACATAAACAGCAATTATTTAACAAGATCTGCAGTTCAACAGGGCGCTGTATATAATTTTAGATGAACAGACATACATGATGAAAAGTTCAAACGAAAATACTTGAGTGTTTTGGGAAGCCTTTTTATTGGCTTTAAAGCTGTCTTTTCAATCGACACCACGTGCACGGCACAGTTCATTGACCTATTGCTTTTCTCGCTTTGTGTTCCAATGTCATTGACTCTTCTGCTACACATTCCTCAAAAATTGTAAACCTCTTTGTGAGGTTAAAGAGAGTGACTTCCAACTCCAGGTGTTCAGGGGATTGCCTGTATAAGGTGAAAATTAAATCCAAATCTCTTTTGAGCTTGAAATTATCGGTAATTCGGATCCTTTACGAAAGTGTCCTGGGGCGAAACGCGGTGTAATTACCTGTGATTGAAGACGTAATAAGGGTCGGGGAAGGCCAAGTCTTGTTTTGATGTCTCTCCCTAGCGCCCTTTATAAAAAGGCGCGCTGTTTTAATGTCTCAGTCCACACGATGTGGTCGGTCGTTATACGGTACAGCCGTTAAACAGCTGCTTTCAAAACAAAACATGGGAAGTCATAACAATGAGTTCGGTCATGCCGCCGTCAGAAGAGACATACGGCTTGTACTGGTAAACATACATGTATGAGGTTCATCGATACAGGATAGTTTCCACCAGTATCTTTATCCGCTATAGAACCCGTGTCGACATCATATTATTGAAAAATTGTGCTTTTAATCAGATCCAAAGTCATGTGGCTTCTTCCCATAAATGTCAAGTCTAGTAAACGTAAACAGCGCACTGCTAATCAAGCTGCATGATTCAGGGTAATGACCGTTCATAGACCCGGTTTCAGGGACACCGTACGTGTTTCCCAGGCGGATAATGAGGGCGTGACTGTTCCAGTCCATATCTATCACACCCCCACGCGTCCCCATCAGGTCACGGGAGTTCATGTCCAGGTCGTTTGAGTTCACACAGGAAGGCACTTCCCCAACACTAAGAGATAACATGAGATACATGTTACTGAGTTACTGTGCTACATGTTAAAGATCATTTCTTGCCTTTTACGGTGGCAAATTCTTTTCACACGTCATAATATGAACCATTTATATGTTGTCAAGATATGATATGACAGCTCACGATCAGCAAAAGTCCGGAAATTACATCGCCGGTCTAACCTTGGAAACAAGCTTTTGGAAAATCCACGACGTTGTGGGAGGGACGACTTGAATGTGCCTCGTGTCCTACAACAAGGACGACAGGCTAATGAAATGTCATTGACATTCTCACTGGGGGTGTTTTTCGCGAGTGCGTACGTCTTTGACAGTCACATACACTCACCCTTGTAGTAGGTACTACGGGTTATGTGAAGAGCAATGCGCGCTAAGTTACAAGTTGTGCAGAAATAGCCTGGGTGCCAGCCTTGTCATCTGAATTCTTCAGCGATCACCGGTACCATGAGCTGACTATAAAAATTAACACAGCTGCCTGGCATCCAGGCTATTGTATAAAACGTCAAAATCCATGTGTCTAGCTTCATGAAAATGGAACGTCCTCAGAATATAACGCAAAGGAAATAATTAACCATTCTAAATGTGTTATTGATTATGTAATTCATTAGTTCATGTGTACCAGCATCTTTAAGTACCAACAATCTTTAAAACTAAGATATACAATAGAGCAAAAAAAATGCATAAATTACGCTAATGAGACGATCGACAGCTAGGGGTGCTGATTCTTTTGACTATTTAATACCTAAGGAGTTTATACATGAGAAGTCAATGTCAAAGCTACCTCCTCAGGGTTAATGAGTATAATAATTCCACAGGGGCTTATTTGTCTCCATCCCATGTTTACCACAGCCCACCCTTACACCAAGGCCTTCGTGACGCACGCGGGAATTAACGGGCTGTACGAGGCGCTGTACCACGCCGTGCCGGTGGTCGGACTGCCCATGTTCGCCGACCAGTTCGACAACATGGCCCGCATGGCGGGGAAGGGCATGGGGATCACGCTGGACATCTGGAACCTCCAGCCTAAACACCTGGCCGCAGCTGTTACCAGAGTCATCCAAGACAAACAGTAAGCACATGCACATGTAATGGTTTTACCACATCATTTTTTTAAAAACTTTTCCGTGTCCGCCACGGCACTTTATTAAATACAAATGTTCATTGATACATGTATGTCATAACAAATTCTCAACAAAGCTTAGTGTACAAAGTGTACTCATCTTATGTGTATATGGAACAGTAATAAAGGAAGGTATTAACTACATCATCTTTCTGCAGTTTTCTGTGGTCATCTTTATGTCTTAACCAGGACACATAGATGGCATACTTAGCGATTGTTAATATATTACATTCTTCTGAACTTAGCAAAACTTCATGTTTTTACCACATCATATCACATAGTTATGCTGAAGCAGCAATTGACACAACATTCCGTAAAGCATTTTTTTTTTCATTAAAAGTCACACACCTGCAATATGAAACGCCATCTACTTGTCCAAGCTAAAAGACCAGTAAAACAGATGGAAATTCTTACTCAAGCTACTGGATAGTTTTTGAAAACTATTCAGATGGTTTTCGTCAGTGACTTATTGTGTAACTTATTACCCTGTATGTCTAAGCTTCATGGAGGTGACCAGTAAATACACTGAATGGTACTTTGCAAAGAATTCTTCAAAGAAAACTTTAAAACTTTCTGTAATTGAAGTTTTTTTTCTATCACATATATAATGACAGAACGTTTTCCTATCACAGGTACAAGACCACTATTGACCACTACTCCAGGATCCACCGTGACCAGCCCCTCCCCCCGGTCGACCGTGCCGTGTTCTGGATCGAGCACGTTCTCCGCAACAATGGCGGCGAGCACATGCGACCTCAGGTCTTCAACCTCCCGTGGTACCAACGTTACATGCTGGATATCTTTGCCATCATTGGTTCTTTTATACTAACATTATTGTTTGTGATCAAAGTGGCACTGAGAAAAAGCTTCCTGTTGCTCATCAACTTTGGTAACCTTCTATGGATGTCTCTGAAAGATTTGAAGCTGAAAACAGAGTAGTTCATACAATGACGGTCTTTCATTTTTAAGCCAAGTCATTGCCAGCATGAAACTACCTCAAAAGGATAAGAATTATGTATTTTTACTCCTGTTGGAGATATTCTAGCTGTACATGAATATCACCATATAGAGACTCCAGACATTTGACAACTTTCTCCTGGATACTTTCTACTTGAGATTTTGGGCAGTAATCATCATCAGATGATCTGTGGAAGAAAAAGAGAAGAGTACAATGTACATTGGGCCAGTGGAATACATTTCAGACCTCACAATATTGCAGTGGTAACAAACACGGTTGTTAATTGAGATACTAATGTGTGTTATTTTACATGTATATTAGTGTTGTTTATTTATCTTAGATACTAGTAGATCAAATAACAGGGTAATAACAAGATCAAGGATAGGGTTGTGTAGTCAAACTTCTCTGTATAGTTGGTGACAATAAATATTTGATGAGTGTGAAGATTTTTTCCTTGCTGATTTTATCCATGAAAAGTTGTGAAAAGTTCAAACCTTGCCACAGTAACAAGAGTAGGTCTGGGGAGGCAGGCCAGCATGGCTTCCATGGCAGCAGTAAGCTGTGTTATCTCCTCCTGAGAGCTGACATGATGCGGAAGCTCTGTATCATCACAGGTACATCCTGCCAGGTGGATCTGTGTTCAATTCAAGGAGGAAACAAAATATAAAGTATATTTATAAGATTCATAAGCCATGTTTAACTGACTTACCATTTAGTTATTATCTCTATTCCATTCCTTATAAACTCTAATAGCAAAAAAAATCTGAATAATTGTAAACTTGAGCCAAAAAACAGTTACTCAAGCAACTGGATATGATTTTGAGTAACTGTTGAGTAACAGTTGCTTGAGTGACTGTTTTTTGGCATATCGTATTACCTGGATGTCTAACCTTCATCGACGTAATTGTAAACTTATTGTTAAGTCTGTAGAGCTAGAGTTCTCCACTCCCATCATTTGCTGGTTTTTGTAAGTTCTAAAGATCCTAGATGCTTAAGTATTTCAACAGATTGAAGCACTATTTCTGCAAATCAAAGAGTGAGCAATATACACGTACCAGTTCAAAGTCAAGGTTGTCCCTAAATGTTTCCCTCATACTACTCACAAGAGCTGTTAGGAGATCCCTCCTAGAAATAGAAACAGTATGCTGTTAGATGTGAATGGTTGCACATAAAAGAAACTCATAGGTAATGAATCATTTTCATTTCAAAAGACAGACCCATTGACAACCCAGTTTAATTGAAAAGGCAATAGTTTCAAATGACAATTGCCACAAATGACCTGTTGCTGTCACACTTGATGTCCTTCAGGTCTGTCCCATTCTGAAGGTCAGTGCAGATGTTCTCCAGCTGTTCCAACAGCTGCTGTCTCCCCTCTGTGTATGCCAGGAGGGAGTCCTCATGGGTGCTGCTGGGTCTTTTAAAATCATACAGTTTGTGAATGATGTCGAACTGTTCCTGGTAGAATGAAGGATGACACAAAGGAAAAAATTTGATGATCCTGAATGTACATTTATCATTGGTAAAAGCTACAAAAATAAAATACATGTACTGATAAATCTGAGCTTCTCTACAATTGAAATAAAGCAAAAAATTGTCAATACAGTACTTACATCTGTAAAAAGGTCCTGAAAGGGATTCTGGGTTGAGAAGAAATCCAGATCGATGTCAAGAATCATTGCACTGCTTTTTCTCACACTTTCAAGTATCTCTGTCATGATCTTTCTGTTTGCAATTTTAAACCCTTCTGGTATACACTCTTCACAACTCTGCTTATCAGTATCATTGGTGCATTTGTCACTGTTTAGCCTATCTTTGGACTTTTGGTAGTTCTGGACTTTGTCATCTTGTTTTCCTACGTCCCCCTGTGCCTCATGATCCCTTCTTCTTCTCTTCACCTCAGGCTCTGTTCTGTCATGTGTTGCATGACTTGACCCTGACAGTGTCAGGACATGTACAGTTATCAGTCTCTTGTTGTCCAGTTGACTTTCAGGTGCATACAGAGCCTCACTTAGGAAGTAGGACTCTGTACTTGATACCCTGGAGGTAATTTGAAAACAGGTTCATATTTATACCTTATACAATAATAAGAGAAGAAATTTCACTGAATGTCAAGTTGTTTTGTGTCCAGCAGAAAAGCAGATGGCAGAAAAACAAAATGCTTAGTTACCTAATACTAGTAGTTTGTCAGTGCTACATGACATATTCTTCCGTTCATTTCTATTTCTCATTTCAACTCCCCCATCACTTGAATTTTTCTGAGTCAGCCTGACATGTCCTCCCTATTCCATAAATAGCTAAGATCACCCAACTTGTTTTGAAATTAATATCCATGACTTGAGTTGCAAATACATTTAGTTGTACCTCTAAATGTATGAACAAACTTACCTGATGGTTCCTGAAGTCCTGTGCTTCCCAATGTAAAATGAAAGTGTCTGTTCCTGTATCTGTTCAGCCCAGGGTGGTTTTACCCACACCACACAGTCCAGGTGACCAGCATAGGCTGCAGGGAGGATCCAGTTCTCTATACTCAAGGCACTGGAAAAGGTTACAAAACAGGTCAAAGTCATCATGATGATGAAAAAAATGTGATATGCAATGTGATCTGGTTCGAAATTGGACTCATTCTGTGAATCACTAATTGATGATACTCTATCATAGTCTATGGATAATTTTTGAAAACTTAATTTCTAATACTCTTAATTATAATAAGCATTTCATTCCTTTTGTCAATTCCATGGGTGGGCCGGCTACTCTCTCCTTGCAGTCATGCATGGGCTGAATTGTGAGCCACTTACAAATTGGTGGGGCAGAATCACAAGGGTCTGGAGTGGCTGCCATTCAGCACTAACTCAGGTGACTTTAATACAACCCCCTACATCAATTTGTAGTTGGGGGGGGGGAGTATTTTTGTGTAAGTGGTTTGATTTACTTAAACAACTCCTGTCTATCAAAGACTGTGTCAGCAGGCATCTTCCATGGGATGAGCATGTCAGGATGGGAGTCCAGGTGCACCATGGTCACACCGTGCAGGGGCAGGTGGTGGGAGCCAATGGCACGGTAGATATAGTACAGTGCCTGGGATAAAACACAGATTGGTTTAACGTTATAAGACCTCAGATTAAAATAATGTTATGGTAATGTCATATAATTGTTATGGTAACTAAAGAGTTGACTTTGATCTATTGAATGCACATCATCAGGCTCAGATTATTATTCTCCACTAGAATACTGAAGAGCCCAAATAAAAATAATTTGGCGGAATAAAATACAAAATATGGTCAGCTGGAACTCGAAATCACGTTAGGTAAAACTTAAAAGTTCAACTAACAAGAACTTGAGCCTACTGATAAGTGGGGAGGGGAGGCGAGTGGCAGCGGAACTCACATCATTATGGTCTTCTACGACCCAAACGGGTGTCGTTTTGTACTTCTTCAGCGTCTCGCAAGCTTCTGCCATATCTTGCGTGTCACGCTAAACCAACAAACTGGGGAAAACGTCCCAAAAATGACTTAAATTGGTAAAAACGTCGTCTTTCCTAAATTTAATTTGTCCGCCATTTTGATCATGGCATGATGGAGCTCCATGATGGGAATTTCGCCTGATCATGCCACTAAGCGACAGGGGTGTCTATACTGGGTGTCTATATTTTGAAAGTATACATACATAGCTCTTGAATCAGTCATGTCATTACAAAATCTATATAATTACCGATTTTTTTGATTAATTAAAAGTGCAGTCATTAATTTTACACACCATATGGTCATATATGTGAATCTGTAAATCCGATATAAAGTTTGTCATCCCAGATGGACCCGTCCCGCTGACACTTCCATCCATCATGGCGCGCCGTGACCGAGCGTCCGTCGGCAGAGACCTTCACTACGTCCCCGATATCACCTCTTCTCTAGAATCTGCATCCAACAATGGGTACAACACCTATTCCTCATGTATTTTAGATGAGTTTTATCCAAGTAATGTTGTAATTTTTCTCGTACTTTAGTCGTAAATGTGTTTTGTCTGCCCCCATGCCGGTGGCTTTTGTGCATGTGAAGCACGTGCTTGCACCGTGCCGTGTGACAACAGAAAATGACCCCATGGATTATCTAATCACGTTCGCCGACATACGATATGCTTGACCGTGCTGGTCAGTTTAGCTGTCCAGTCACGGTATAGACGTTTAGCGAAAATCGAGCTGTAAGTTGCCAACCCCCTCCGACCCCTGCACCATATTTGGGGCCCTGTCTTCAGGCCAAAGACTCGGAGACCAAAGACTCAGGGTCGTCCATGTAACTGTTAAATACCTTGTCCTTGGTACAAATGTACTAGTATTTGGAAACTTGTAACACAGACTTCCAGCAAGACCAATCACTATAATTTGTTACCTAACTATCTATCTAAGTCATGGTAATCAACTGTTTGAAGCTTCATTCAAATTATTTCAATATTTGAACTTCACACTTGGCAGTCGCAGCTTCAATTTTACTTGCACTAACCTGCATATGCAGGACGAGGTGGTATTTCTAGCTCTGCAGTAGTCATGGTATCATCTGTGTAATGTTTAATAAGTGTCACAACCGTTTCATTCCAAACCATACCAGGGTGTAAATCCTATGTGATTGTCTGGCTCTGCTCCCAGGTTTGACTTCGTGTGTTCACCCATCGTCCATCCTCGCTACAAGCGAGAGTGTCTGGAGGGGCGAGCCAAGGGCAGACCTGGAGCCTTCACCCGATCAGACCTGCTGCTGACATCACAGGGTGGGCACTAACACAAACCTAACCTTGTGATAATGACAGTGACAACGATGTTTTATTTGCACATTCATGCCTATGTGGGCTAAATGCAGAACTTGTAGTTTTACATGATACAGTTGTATAAACACTACAACTCTACAGATTTGCTACACCGTTACAGTATCTATTGTGTACAGATAGACGAACATGAAAGGCTATCATTGATTATATAGTTTACATATCTATAATGCATGAATTATGGGTTCATATGTAGAACTTCATTCCCCAGTTTGAAATTTAAAAAATGAGCGTTACATATGGATCATAGAGACATTGTCTTTGTATACTGTCATTGTATTTGCATATTCATAAAACTTGCTCTTTTGCAGATTGGAGTACACTGATCGTGGGAAAGTTGTCTCCATGGCTGCAGCCAGACTCAGAGATAGAGTCAGTCCGCAAAAACTGTGAAAAGGTAATTGTTATTCATTCTGAATTATACAAATGGTGACCTTATACATGTATCAGTTATACGTCTTGTATTATGTTTTACCACCTATCTATTGTATTGTATTTTTAGGGAACCGCATGCTTCCTTTGTATACAACCCTTTACATCGTGAATGTTTTCTTTGAGTGTGACTGTCTAACCTTATTCAATTCAAGTGCCATGTTGAACTGGCACCATGAAACCAAGACAAAGATGGTAAGACATCCTTGTGTTGTCTGTAGGCCCTCCAGCAGGAGCTGAGCTATGCAGCCCACCTGAGTCTACCTGCCATCCTGGTGCAGCTGCGGAGCACCAGGTGCGCTAACCTGGCCAGGTACATCCACTACCACATGATGGGACACAACAACACACTGGTACGTACCTCTTTATTCACCTGTCGCACTACAGTGGGTCTGTCGCCCCCCTCCCCCTTCAGTTCTTGTCAGTGATGATTTTAAGTTATCCCTGTCAGATATTGATGTGTTGACAAGGTATATAATCCTGAGACAAGCCAAGAAGAAACTAGAAAGGTATTATTAGCAAATTATGCTGACCTTCGCATGTCCCAGTTAAACAACTACTGCTCTGTTGATTGTTACTCACCATGCATGTACATGAGGTCGTGTGGCATAGCAGTAGGGTATTCGGCCCAGGCCCTAATTTGAAAAGGTCCCGGGTTGGAATCCTGCCCGGTGTCACTGATCTTGTGCCCTTGGGAAAGACACTTGCTGTGTGTGTCAAAGTGCTATGTCTTTCTGTGTCAATCAGATGTGGATACAAGTGCCCCTCCAGTCACCTGATGTGTGCAGGGAGGATGTTATTGAAGGTGAGCCAGCTGAGGACCCAGAGGATAACAAGTCACAGGATCCATGGGAGTGGTGGGTACACAGTCTTCTTTTGGCTGTTGTAATAGAGTTAGCCACAAAGGGTGAATCTATATGTATGTGCAGGGGTTTTTCTAGAAAAATTTTGCATGAGGGAGCAGTATCACGGCGAGGGAGCAAAGCGACCGAGGGGGGGTTGGTGCGGAAGGGGGGTATCCCCCCTTCCGCCATGTGAAGCCTTTAAAAATTTGAAGTTGAAATGGGACATTTTGAGGCTACTTGAGGGGGGAAATTTGAACTCTTAACCTCAATGCACATTTCCCAAATTTCTATTCATGCATTGCATATTTCACTTTTAAAATATAAGTACAATCAACAGTACACACAATCTGCAAATCACCCTTTATACACTTACACAATTAGTGATCAATGTTTCTAGTAGCTCCAGATGACAACATTGGGTTTGCCACAAGCTGAAACCTTTCCCATGGCACAATTGCAACACATTCATCCAAGCTGCTACAAACTCAGGTCTCATATTTCACTTCAGAGCCTGTTCTATAGTATGCAAATGAAGGAGGCCTAGCTACATGTTTTTAAGCAAGTTTTCAATGAACATTGTTTATTCCATTCAAACTTTTACTACTAGAGCTAAATTTTCAACTTTGTGGTAAGATTTTGGAATTTTTATGAGAGTAACATAGTTTGTAATGCTAGAATGTATTGTTATGTGGTGTTGTTTTTGTATTTTTACTGGAAAAAGATGATTTTGAACAAGACTTAGGCTTCAATCTGAAAATTGATATGAGGGCGCTGGTTTGTTACATGAGGGCGCAGCGCCCTTGTTCCCCTGTTTAGAAAAACCCCTGTATGTGGCAATGAGGACATGACTTGTAAATATTTCATGTGTGATTACATTTATACGCTATACTGAGCCACATTACATGGATATCTATATTTGATGTACATTGTGATTATAATTGCCAAAACTACATTACAAATGTTTCTCCTCTTTCCCAGGTGGAACTCATTCAGGTCCATCTGTCATTATCACAAGAAACTAGCCCTCGGTGAGTAGTCATTCCTGATGCTGATGATATGGTTTTGTTTCCATTTTACCTACACATAAACGTTTTCTTTTTTGGAAAGTTCAACTTGTCATTATGTAAAATATTTAACTGCTTTCTGTTTAGACATCTTAGCTTTCATATTTTTGTTTGCATACAAGTGAAACAGATGTTATACTGGTAGCTGAGGTTGGATACATTTTTAGTGAAAATTTTGAAGTAGCACATACTTTAAGAAGTATGATTGAGTAACACTAACATAACAGTATTTATTCTTGAACACCGTCTCCCCTTTAGCCTTGGAGTTGACCCCTGACCTTCCATCTGAGAGCCAGTTGAGGAGATGGTTAGGAGAGCCAGTCCGAGCTGCCATCATTCCAACCACCATCTTCCTCACCAACAAGAAAGGTACATACAAACAAACACTCTGAAGATCTGAAGCACATTCCACCATGGGTGAATCTGTATGTGGCAATGAGGACACGATTTGTCAATATTTCATATGTGATTACATTTATACGCTATACTGAGCCACATATTAGAAGTTCTCACCACTGAAATGTTCTTTCTACTTATTTCTGTGCAATATGTTCATGTGTTCAAGTGCACTGATGGTATTTCTTACAATCCCCTCTCCAGGGTACCCAGTGTTGTCCAGGGCACATCAGTCCTTTGTTCAACAGTTGTTCAAGGTAAACCTTTTAATAATGGTTTAAATACAACAACGGTCATATCAGAGTATTACTGACTTGATACATACAAACTCTAAAGTCTGAAAGATTGTGGTAGTATCTTTTATCATTCTTATGTAGTATATTGTCATATTTGTAGTATATCATGTTATAAGAATTATAGTGGTACTGTATGATGTCAAACTGTCTGGATGCAATTGCCAAAGTTATGCACATCTTCAGGAAAAGCACCTGTTTTCCCACTAAGTAATAAAGGTTTCTATTTTACCCCGTGCAGTATGATGCACAGATTGTGATCTCTGGTACAGCCAGACATGGAGACAAGGGGCTGAGGGCGTACCAACAGTACATGGAACATCTCTTCCAGGTACGGTCTCTGTACATGCGTAACTACATTCATTTCTCAGGTAAACCTGAGCAAATTTGACCATTATAGACAGGTAACCACTATAGAGAGAGAAGGTCCATATTTAATCACGGGTGATGAAAGACATGAGCTTTCAGTTCCCACTGAAATACATGTATCTTGTTTCCTATATACTTTTAGCTACTGTTTAGCTTATCATACTCACTTAGCTGAGCAAATAAAAAGGAAACTTCAACTTTCACATTGACTCGGAGCACATCATGTTATGTAGAAGTGAGACGAATTCTACATTAATACGATTTCTGGTTGAGGTAGAAGTAACTCAGCCTTTTATGTTTCATTTTGCTCTGTCTAGTTCCAATTTTGTCTATCACAAAGTATTTCCGTTTCCAGACAAACCCACAGCCAGACCAGGTCACACTGTTTGCCCGTGGTTATGAGGACTACTTACAGTGTCCCCTGCAGCCTCTGTTTGACAATCTGGAGTCTAACACATACGAGACATTCGAGAAGGACCCGGTCAAGTACTCCCAGTACCAACAGGTAAGGCTTCCAAGGTTTTAACAGTTTGTCATAGCTGTTCTACCTTTATATTGTCTTTGGTAATAGGAACATTTGCTTCCTCTGAAACTCCTTTTTTTTTGTAAAATCTAAGAGATCAAAATAATCTTGAATTATTTACAGGCTGTGTACTATGCATTACTGGACAAGATTCCTGTCTCAGAAAAGGACACCAAGAAAATGTAAGTGTTCTTTTCAACGGCAAATGGTAAAAGTTTTTGAGGTAGCCATAAAGTAGCATTCATGTGGCAATGAGGACATTTTTTTTCAATATGTCAAATGTGATTACATTTATACGCTATACTGAGCCACATACAAAAACCTTTTACTACTGAAATACTGTTCATAAATATTTTCATAGCTTTTGTGTGCTACTGTGTGGATCTTGCTTTAGAAGGAAACTGCATGTAATGTTTACCCACTGTATATAATACCTGGTACACCACCCCTGTTCCCAGTGTGCTGATGGTGCTAGGTGCAGGCAGGGGTCCCCTGGTCAGATGTTCGTTAGAGGCAGCCAAGAGAGCTGAGCGGCAGATCACAGTCTACGCCGTGGAGAAAAACCCAAACGCTGTTGTCACGTAAGTGGAACTTATTTTACTTCCTAGCTTGTATTGCAACAGTATGTGGTAATGAGGACACTCTGTGCCACTTGAATATTGTATATGTGATTACATCTATACGCTATACTGAGCCACATACTAGTTACTCATCATGTTGCCTTTGATTATGTTCAAAACATCACTCCACACTCCACATGTCTTCTTCATAACCTTTCTGATCCATTGATGTCGTTCGGCTGGCCAAAGATGTCAGCATTACCTGTACACAGTTAAAAGATATTTTTTCTCCTTCTTACCCAACCGGTAATGTTTCTCACCTGCTTATGTTTCAATGCCAGTCAGACACCTTCCTCAGAGCTTCTGACTGGAGTGCTGCTTCTCGTCACTATATGTAGCCGATGTAGGTGGCGCTTTTGCACCGAGAACACAAGAAGAAAATCCCTATATCCTATGTTCTACCAACCTGATAGAATTATTTTTGGATATTTTTTCTGTTCAGACTTGAAGCCCTGAAAGATGAGATGTGGGGTGAGCAGGTGACGGTGGTGTCATGTGACATGAGGGAGTGGGAGGCACCGGAGAAGGCTGACATCATCGTCAGCGAACTTCTGGGGTCGTTTGGGGACAACGAGCTGTCACCGGAGTGTCTGGACGGAGCGCAGAAGTTTCTCAAAGGTTCGTTAACTTTCTAAAGTTTCCCTTCTCAAAATTGAAGGAACAAAACTGTGTTAGTGTTACCAACTATGTTTCCTTGTAAACTTTGTTTTCATTATTAACCTTCCATACTATGATTTATATTCTACAGTATTGTGTCAATTAAATCTTACCATGAAAATGTTAGTTTAAGGCAGTTTAAGTCATAACGACGCTTATGCTGATTAAGTCGTACCAGTGTAATTTTGATTTAAGACAGTACAAGTGATGATAATGAATTTGCCGATTATTGCTTCACCAAGTAACCCCCTTTTTTCACAAATTTGTTATTTTCAGTTTTAGATTGGTTTTCATGTGTGCAACACTGCAACTCTCAATAAAGTCATGTTGTATCTTGTACAGATGATGGCATCAGTATCCCACGGGAGTACACCTCCTACATCGCTCCTGTCTCCTCCCACAAACTGTACAACGAGGTGAGAGGGTGTAAGGAGAGGGACAAGGGACCAGAGGTTAGTCCAGCCTACTGCACATCAGGATGCAACAAGGAATTCCACTCCTCTTTGGTGATTCATTTAAATGTAGTCTTTCTTCAGGAAGAGTGTCCTCACTAGCCAGGGCATCTGAAATGTAGACAAAGTTTTCAACATGAAAAGTTGTTACAACTGCTTTTGGATACAATCATAATGGCTGTGAATCTCTGTCTGTGATCACATGTTATTTTTCTGAAGTCCTTAATAACTCCATGGCTAGTGAACTTTTTCTGCAGAAGGACCCTAGTTGCTTTTAAACAATGAACTGTAATTGCATTGTATATTGAATATTATGTCCTACCTGGGCCGCGATTACGTTCGATACGGGTGTTCCGGCCCGTGTGATAACTAGCGGTACAGCCCGGGGGTTCTTAACGCGTACAACCCGGCCCTTCCAAATGTTCCATAGAAAGATTCGAACGCGTTTCGCCCTAACCGCTTGCACCGCTTCCGAAAATTCGAATGCAAAATTCGGACGTTGGAATTGATGTTGTTGCGTTTTTTGGGATTAGGGACACCAAATTTTTGCTCATTTCGCATTGAAAGGCGCGTTTTCGTGGGTGGGTATGACATAAATAAAATACAACACGGTGTATTCCACATCACCCTCAGTCCCAGCCCTCCCGCGGATCGGATCTCCCTCCGGCCGTCGGGCGATCCGACGCGCGGTCGGGCTGGTACCTTGGGCGATACGGAATACACCGTGTTGTATTCTATATCTACAATGTACTGGAAGTTGTAATGCTTTTGCTTTGTTAGAGAATATTGTATACTATGTGAAATTATTGAAGGAACCTTCTCACCATATCAGATGGAAAATTTTCTGCTGTATGTCCTGCCTGGAGAGTTGAGTGTTTTACATGTCTGTTTTCTTCCCTACAGGCTCCGTTTGAGACAGCCTATGTTGTGAGGCTCCACAACTACTGTGAACTGGCTGAACCCCAGCCTTGTTTCACCTTCCATCATCCCAACAGAGGTGAGCTCTAAAGACTTGTTACATGTACATTCAGAGCTCGAAATGCTGGGTGCATGTGCACCTTAGTGCAGGTAAAATTGTAGCCGTGCAGGTATTTCTGATGTCTACCTGCACCTAACCTGCGCTGGTCCATGCACTGTGTTTATATACAAATGTAGGTGTTTGTGGATTTTATAGGCTGCATTACCACCTATATAGTATTAGATACATGTGTAAGTAATGGCAATGGTTTCTGAACAGTTTTAGTATGATCCATACCTCTCAAAGTCTGAGTAGTGCAGAGAAACTTTGTCTGGTGCAGGTAATTTTCATTGTTAAGTGCAGGTATGCAAAAAAAAGTATTTTGAGCTCTGATGGTGATGTCCTTGGTACTGCTCTTCTATCCAATTAGTTGATAGAGTTCTATCAAATACCTCAAGCAAAGAAACTTTCTCATTTAAATACCTTCTCTTTTCTTTCACAGGTCTGATAGACAACACAAGAGCCAAAGAGTTTGAGTTTGACATTGAAGAGAACACAGTTCTGAACGGCTTTGCAGGATACTTTGACACAGTCCTGTATGGAGATGTCACACTAAGTAAGGAGAATTACATGGTTATGATTAGACATGGGCATGACTGAAGTTATCTACATGTTCATTTGTGCTTGTGATTAATGTGATTCAGATTCAAAATTTTATACTCTAACCTTTGATTTTTATTCTTTATATACAATCTACTTGTATATCCAGTTCATGTTGTTATGCTGTTGTTTTTCAGGTATTGTACCCAGGACACATTCTCCGGGCATGTTTAGTTGGTTCTCAATATTCTTCCCCATTCGGGTAAGGGACAGATATTCCAACACCTTGGCATTTTTTTACATCTTTTCTGTGGGATAATATCAAAGGTAGATACTTTCTGATTGAATTCTACTCACAACATACTACAAGAGCCTTCCATGTTGTAGTGCTTCTTAATATGTCTTATTTTTTTTGTGAATTAACAGATGTCATAACTGAGTAAAGAGATTCTTTTTACACAACCAAGTCTTTTATTCAGCTGATGTTACGGTGACTGTCTGTCACCTTCCTCAGGGCAATTCTGACTGGTTCACATTGCACTGCAGCACAGATGTTGCTGCTACAGATGCATTCCCAAGTGTACAATATTTACATATCTACACAGCGATACCTGTGCTGCAATCCAATGTGAACCAGTCAGAATTGCCCTGAGGAAGGTGACAGATGGTCACCGGAATGTCGGCTGAAAGATTTGGTTGTGTAAAAATAGTCTCTTTACTCAGTGTCTTACCAACCTGATGAAACTATTCACGGAGATGTCATAACTGTTTGTGTTTGTGTTGGTATCTGACAGGATCCCATCTACCTCAACAAGGGGAGCAAACTGAAGGTGAACTTCTGGCGGTGCTGTACGGAACAGAAGGTCTGGTACGAGTGGTGCGTCAACAGCCCCTCCGTAACCCCCATACACAACCCCGCGGGGAGGTCCTACACGATTGGACTCTGACGCATCCATCCCATCATTCCTAGCTGTCCCAAACTGTATGGGACTTCTAACAGAACAGACGGGCTAGCCTGTGAACTAAAAAAAAAAAGAAAGAAACACCACTGTAAGGGTGTAGTGGGCTTGGTAGAGCCTTGCACATGAAACACTGCGAAGTACGATTCCACGTTAACATTTCTGGAACCAAAGGTATCATGTAGACCATGCTGCTATAGTCAGTGTAAACCTGAAGATGTATGCACCCCTTTTTACACTAGTGGGGCAGTTTTGTTTATTTTTGAGGAAAGAAGAAAAGATTAAGTGTTGATCTTTGACAAGACAACTTTTCCAGAGAAGTATAAGTCAGCTTTGGTGGCTATCTAACTGAAGGCAAGGCCCATATGTACACTGTACCATGTTTAACATAGTGTATTACACATATGCTTTGGTTATTAAAACATTTATCTTTGTTTCTAATATGATGAATGTCATCATTCTGTCGTGTTCAGATTTCATTACTTTTTATGTACCAGAGGATTTTTTCTTACATACTCTAAATCAGAATGGACAAGCAGACATGTTTTGAATCCTACAGTGCAACAATATTTATTCACGTGATAGCAGTCTTGTATTTGCACAAAGCACACCCTCAAAATACAAAATATACATGTATGATATCTAGAATTACACTTCAATGACAATATATGAATAGCCATCTATTATATAATTCAACATCAAAAGCTACAATGAAGGCGAGCACCATGTCACAAAGGCCTGTGGGAAAATGAAGACTTGTACCATTTTTTCAAAGTACTTAAAAACAAGTTTGTGAATGCCAAATGTTTTCTTTGGTCAGTTCTATCCTCTCAGATATATTCAACATCATAAATGTCAAAGTAAAATCATGCATCTTTCTGATTGCCATTTATTCTAAAACATTTGTAATGCCAAATGGAAGTCAGCAGTTGTGTGCTGTGAAGTTTGCTCCTACGTGACATTTCAAGGCAAAGTCTTCATTGGCCACCACATATGCACATGGTGCCCAACAGGTAGAGCGAAGTGTTTGTACTGAATACATGGACATCGGGGGGAGGGATACCGCTTCTAGGCACAGCTTCTACAGCCCTTCTGGCTTTTCACGATTTCAAAATAGTTCTCTTTTTTGTTTCTCTTCCCTGCAATTTCTTATACGTGGTCCCCAATTAGTTTCTTGACACAGAATGTAGGTAAAGTGAACATGCCACTGACACTAATAGCTAGCCTTATACATGTAGGTTTTTGTTATCCGTTTGGATAGGATCTTGGGTATAGTTGGCGGCCATCTTGTCACCTGTAGCTTCACACTGGGTACGAGACTACAGATTGTGCTAATCATACCTTTATGTACTACCTGCGCAAAATACGCCGCATATTCAGACCTCCTAAGAGCTTTTCTGTTATAAGGACGCGCTGGCGACGTATTATTGATCAAAATACATATATTCCTTCCACCCAAGCTCTAATACACTTGGCTTCGTCCACTGCCCCAGCGTAGGCGTTTGTTCGTATCCATTTGCCTTTTAAAAATCAGTAAAAGTAAAATGCATGTATAACATGTCAAACATAGCCCCTGGCAACGTCTTTTCACCGTCAAATCCACCATCCTTAGACCTTCCAAATAAACAATTTCTTCGAAATGTAAACCGTAATAAGGATTTACAATCAAAGCTCCCCTAACGGTGAAGACAAATGACATTATGATAATGGCTGTGGAAACGTGGGCCAGCCGTCTGCCGGAGAGATTTGTATCTCAGCTATATATAGCCTACACTTCTCTCTAGCGCTGCACCGAGAAATCTAGATTGATATCGCGGCTCAACACGACTGTAACTGGTGTAAGGAAGTGTAATGGTCCCTCTTCCACCATGCTTTAGAAAGTAATACAAACCGTACGAAACATACGTTGGGAAATGAAGACTTAAACAATGTAACTGTCACATATCTAGAACACAAACAGATGTCACAAAACCCACATTCGTTATATAATTCCTGGGGAATACTAGTATCCATCACATGTACAACAACAGCAATTTCCACCTTAAGAACACAATATCTACACAAAAGTCCCGCACAAATACTCAAGCTACACGATATGTAAGTATACTGGCACTAATACATCCGATAGATATTGTACCGGTTTAGATATGGTAAACGGCTTTTTTTCCTGCGTTCGTTGTTCAGCGTTTGTTCTCTAGGTTAACGATAGGGTACAACTGGCACACATCTGTAGACTGTTGTCCAGTGAAGCGTTGTTTTGTTTTTTCTCTTCTGAGCCGGTTTCTTGTCCTGATCTATTCCTTGGCCGTGGCCTCGGCAGGGGCCGTCTCCTCGCTCTGCTGACCTTTGACCTCGTCTGCGTCACTAGTGTCTGGAGTCTCGGCTGGAGTCTGGAGGAGAGATAGCCATATTAGGAAATGTCAGGTCACTTATATAGTTATGCTCCAAAGTATATGCAATATTGCAGACCAAACGGATATTCCACATACCCTCTAAATATGACCATATATATAACGTAATTCCTTCGACCTCTTGTGGAATTGTCACATTTACAGGCAAAGATCATGTATGAGGAGTTAGAAAAAGGTGCATGTTGCCTGTACCTTGTGTGTCTTGTCCATGCCTGGGTCTAGGATCAGCTTGCCTATGTTCTGGTGATCATGCATCTTCTGCATGGCCTCCCCTACCTGTACCAACCACAACCAATAATGGGTTATCCACGTGAGTCTGCCTCTATAACTGATGCCATCTTCGCCTTGAGCAGAAGTAGGTAAAATCTCCCTAGAAAGCCTTGCTATCAGGTTGAATACATACAGCACAAATTAAAGAACAACGCCCAGGAGGCATAACGTATTGGTACAGTAGAGATTTGTTTAGTTGGGCCAAACGCCGTGCTTACCCCGACTACGGTACTGAAAGATTGTCCGATCAGCACCAAGGACAGGCACAATAAGTCCTTCAGACGAAACATCTAGTTCGCGCTGCGCTTAAAGTTACTCATTGACTTCCTCCCTTTTCCTACTATATGACCAATGCATTACTCACACATCCGTTTATACAGGCTGTATACAATAAGAAAAAAATAAGGAATTGAAACTTTATATGTAAATATTACTAACGCACCAATTCACTTGTCTCGTCCTACGTATTACCTTCTTGATTATCCTTTTCTTTCCCTTTATTTATATGTACCGGATCACATGTTACTAACCCATGCGTAACCTGACGATAATAATTTGTGGGGCTTGGCAGCAGTAGTGAACATGAGATCAAACTATTTTTGAGGATACAAATCGGACGCCGACCATGGCCACAAGACGTTCCTTCATTATCATTCTGTTGCTCAAACGCGACTGTTACTTTGCCCCGCTTTGGGATTTTTTCTTGAATATCCCTTTTAAAAGCTTACCTCTTCAAACGCCCAGCAGGAGTCGATGACAGGTTTGATCCTGTCGTTAGAGAACATGTCCAGCAGGGTGGTCATGGTCTCCTGGATCAGCTCGTGCTGGTTTTGGTCGTACAGCAGCCGCAGCAGCTGGAACCCGCCGATAGTCTTGTTCTCATCGTACAGCTTCACGGGGTTCACCTTGTCCACCTGCCACCACTGCGGGGAAAACGGCGGGGCATAGCGCGGTTAGCTTGTGCATTTATCCCACCTCGCATGTATTGTCTCTTGAACAACATTATCTCTAAACTGGGCAGGGAGCTCGAGTGAAAATATCAAGCCAGAAATACTCAGAAACTTGAGTACACTGCACCAAATTCACTATACGAGGGTCATTAAAACATGAATACAGATAAATGACATGTCGACAATTGTCAAAAAAATCAAATCAACCACATTCTGATGTTATTTTAACACTACATAATATTTGACGTTTTGGGTGGAATGGAGTTGTAAGTAAAAGTAAAACGCATTGCAGACATGCTGCAAGGATTTACACAAATAAACCATTCATTAATTAATTCACCCATTCAATACCAGTTGCAACTGTAAGACGTAACGCAATAAAACTCTACCTAACAGTTTGTGACGGTATTGTAGTCACAGATATGGCTTATTGACAGATATGAGGCTAAGAATCGCCAACGATCGCACCTGTATAAATACTCATTAATTGAAGTGCTGGAGCACGATTAAACCGTAGAGATAATGGTTATGATAAAAGTGTAATTTTCACACTCTTATTTATCTCGATATTGCAATATAATTTCGCTTAAAACAATCTATGTTTAGTGTACACAATGCTATAAAGCACAGTCCAAATTACAATGTCACCCGACATTGAAGAACAAGTTAAGATGATCGATGAGAACGTACGGCCTTGGCGGAGCTGAAGAAGCTTCTGGTCTCCCCGGTGACGATGTTGGAGGACCCATACAGCACGTACTTGCCCATGGGCTTGAGCAGCGCGATCCCCTTGTTTGTATCATCCCCACACAGACAGTCCAGCACAATATCCACACCAGATGGAGAGATTCTGCACAGGGAGTAGGCATAGGCATAGAACTTAGACACGATTTTTTTATTTATTCATCTTGGGAACAGGTGGGTAGTCCCATCAGTGTTTAGACTGGTCTCCGTGGGAGCTAAAACCTAAATCAAAGTATAGGTAACATAGGTGGGTAAATCAAAGATAAATCATAAATAATAATTGATACATATGTGGTAATTGGTGGCCATTTGTTGTTGTATACATGTTGTATTTCTGAGCTGTAAAGTCATGATTTGAACTGTTTAAAAATAACATGTTGATATCTGAAAATAAAGATATTTAATCTACTATAAGTAAAATTTTCGTGTTCATGGAACTTCTTTTACTACAGGATTGTGTCAAACTTTGACTGTATCATCACATACGGTGCTCTTACTTCCTTATTTCTGCCGTGTAGTCACTGCCGCTGAGGAATAGGTGGTCAAAGTGGTCCTTGATGGTGTCGTGTTTGTGTGGGGAGGCCGTGCCGAACACCGTCACGTTCTCAACCGTCTTACACAGCTGGGCCACCGCCAGGCCCTGCAAAACGTCCGAAAATACGAGCTATCACAAACAAATAAGTGTTGGGGGAGGCAGACGTACAGAACACCGTAATATTCTTTAAAACCGCCTTCCACATCTGTGCCATCGCTAGGCCCTAGCCCTGAAAAACGTCCAGAAATACGAGTCAAACAACTGCGTTTGTGTTTGTGTTATGCCATATACATGCCACCAATGAAGGTTTTCTCAAATTTACCAAAGACTTGTACAAGCCAGATACCACTATTTACCACAGCCTCTCATGCACTGAACCACCCATGCACATGTATGCGTGGTGAAAAAGAAATGACTTGTACAAATGCATCCCATCACAACGTGCCTCTAACAGCATATTGATTAACTACAATGTGCTGGCAAGAAATCCCCTAAACTGATCATATAGTTAGCCCACCTGTCGAATTCAGTCAAAGCTCTGCGTATCTACAACAATTTAACTCCTGGTTTCGTTCCAAACCGTTAGAGGATGTACTTCATTCCGCCTAGCTGTCAACAACATTCTAGTATCTACTTAACATGTCACATCTTACAGACATCTGCGTAATCTCCCGTCGGTGGTTTAATACTCTCATTTGCACAGTAATTGCACCTCGCTTTGGTTGAGAGGTTATATATAGCAACTGTCAAAAGACAGTAACTATGATGATCTCACATGTAAGGTTACTTGGGGTTCATCTTAACGCAGTGACAGCATTAGTTTTAACAAGTCTCGCCTTTCCCAACGGTATTGTGACGTCTTTTCCTTCGAAAATGTAATAGTATGATATTAGAATTACGTGGGAGTTGGGATCTTACTTTGTCAGTTAGGATTATTACCTTTGGGATTACCACATAGGAGATTCTACGTGGGACAGGGAAATAGTAGCTTTTGATCAAATGTGAAAAGAGACATTCCGTTTTACATTTAAGATGAATATAGGAACCTTATACATGCCTTATGCCCCTATGTACTTACAAATTGTCTTATTTCTGTTCCTGATCCTACCTCATTCACCATGTTATTTCAGCTTACAGCATTGTCGCCGTGTTGAGTTCAAAATCTATGCAATTCAATGATGTTAAATCTCCTCTATCTGGATAACCCATGCCCCAAATCTGTACTAGTTAGTTTCACCATTTCCGTCACCCCCTGAGAGTCCCTATTGAAATGCTACAGTTCTAACAATAGAGTAAGTGCCGCTGTATATGTCGTATTCTCGTTATATTCTCATCATGAGGTTTCAAGTCTGAATTATAGGGTGAAATCTCTGGGCTGAGACTTATCTGATGAAATACCTCCAAATATGGTGATGCCATCCTGCCAGACATTGGCAGTGACGTGAGGGTAATAGTGTCGACTTAGTTCTCGGGGCCTTTATTCCACGCCACTGTACCTTGCAACACATGGAAGTCATCAGATTGAAATGGCATAGAATGTCCCGAAGGAGCTGTTCAAATTGTTTCTAACCCAGGGTTGTCTTCCATGTACTCGCATATCGGTACAAAAAAATATTCAAGACGGTATGATATAGAAGACGGTAGCTAGCGTGTTTGGCAAGTGAACCATATGCGAAAAGGAAGGACAGCTGCAGTGGCCAATGATGGCTTCTCAGCTTCATTCAACGTCTTCCAATGACCAAACAGCCAATGAAGAACAGTTATGCTTTAAGGTGTCTGTTAATGCTACACTAAAACTGCCATGATTCGATCCCCATATAAATGCTGAGGATTTTTCCACGGCTATTTTTGTGTCTGCAAATGCTTGTTGTCTGGGTTCGGAATGAACTTTGAAAGAGAAGTCATTTTGGCGAAAATTACCAGAGATACGATCGGCGCCGAAGGCCTGTTTGTAGCTGAGACTACCGAGCGCCTACAGGAAATTTCCAAGCTGGTAGGTACAGCCGTTCTCGCGCTTATCTCGCCTAGTTCGCTCCTTGCGAGACGGCGCGGCTGTAAAATAGCGCTTTGGCGTTGTTTTATGGAGGTGCCGGAAAGGGCAAATGCGTCTGTTACGTGGGTAGAACGAAAAATTAATCCAAGGGCGAAACTAAATCCTCGCAAGTGTGTGTGACAGGCTGAATAAAAGTTCTAAACGGGAACTATGCTGCTCTAGATGTCTGAGGGACGATTGCGTGTACGAGATGTCGGTTAGCTTGAGGAATGAATCCGGCCCCTCTACTATAAACTAAATATCCTCGCAATGTAAGGCGGTGTCAGGGGATTTCACGAGAAACCCCTGCGACCTGAACTCACTCTGGAACTTACTTTGATTTGCTGCGCATCCTCTTTCTCTCTAGTGAACAATAATTGGCAGTTTTTTGTGCGTAAATCACAACGAAAGGAGACTTGAGGGTAAATGTCTTTTTGAAAATTACATTCTTACTCCTTCATCCAGCCATTTCATATTCCCGTCACCTCCAGCAATGTGGACAAAATCCAATCAAATCTTTCAAGCTTTACGTACTAGAGAATGACCTTCAGCCATATTAAAGAAAGTCATGATTAGACTGAATAAAAGATACGCATCATGCATGGACAGGAGGGCGTGCGGCTGTTGGAGTACTTACCACCCCTCCCCCCGCGGAGTGGACCAGAACTGATTTGCCCTTCTTCAGGTTGCCGATCTCGAACAGCATGATGTAGGCGGTGAGGAAGTTGATTGGGAAAGCGGCGGCGTCCTCGAAACTCATTCTCATCGGGATCTGGAAGCAGTGTTTGGCCGGCACCGACACCAGCTCGCACCAGGAGCCAAGGTTGGACAGGGCCAGCACATGGTTCCCCACCTGGAACAAGAAAACCATCAAGTAACCTTCAAGTACAAAAGTCAACATTGCGCGCTTCTGTGACTACCGAAAGGCCTTTGCCCCGCACTAATTAACAGGGATTTTAGCAGGTTACTTTGTGCACACTAATATACATTCAAATTGATTATAATACTTTTAACCCTTGGTTTTAATTCAAGAGCTCACTCCGAAAGAAGATCGATTAGAAAGTTCGGTAGGAAATTGCTTTTATTTCCCATGTAAGTTCCGACACCACATGGGGCGATTCCATTGCTGAGGGGTGCGCTGTTAGCATGCCTGTCCTTGGTGCTGAAGTTAGAGTTAAATTACTCAGCCGTGCTCCGGGTGGGCTGGTGTTATATAGGTTTATGCAATTATTTTAGACACCAACTCGGGAGAAACCAGGTAAACAAGCGTACTCGTGCTGTTTAAGTGAACTGATATAATATTTCCCCTCAAATATGCTCTCTCTCTCCTGCCATAGCGGCTGCCAAATGTCATTTCAATTGCCATGTTGCAACTCCTGCAGACAGTACTCTGTAATCGGAACAGCTAACTAGAATGACTTAATGTGTTGTAACGTTATACTGTACTGTACTGCAACCCTATTACATGTCGTTATGACAATTTTAATTAGTTCTGTTATTGTAGCCTTTAGTACATAAGAATGCATTTGTAACAAGTTGTTTTACAATGTACGGGACATGTAATTCAGCCTTCGGGCTGTGACATGTTCTTCGAATAAAACAATAATATTATTATTATTGTTGTTGTTGTTGTCGTCGTCGTCGTCATCATTATTATTATCATTATTATAATTATTATCATTATTACCATTATCATCATTATCATCAGTATCATTAGTATCATATTATCCTCATTATAGCCTACGAGGATGAAAGTTGACCGTTAACAGTGACACATTGCTCGGACTGCCATGCCTGAAATTGTCCGTCTCTAATTGACATCCATGACGGACGAACATCGGGAACTGCTTCAATATGTTCCTCACGTCCGCCGCTTCTGACTATGTGACCTTCATACTGATAGCGAACTTGACATTGTTTTTCCTTCCGTGCCTTTGTGCCGGTCCTCGGGGATAAGTATTGCGTCTACGGTAGGGACTAACAGGGACCATACAGTAATGCTACGGCAGGGACTAACGGGGACCATACAGTAATGCTCAGGGGTGAGGGACGGAGAAACCGAGCATCGTGTCCGTACATATATATAAAAACATGGCACCTATCTTATTAGTGAAGAAGACGAATGCTACCAACTCTGTACCCACCATGTATCACAGCTATGCAGAACAGCCGCCCAGACAAGACTTAAGCGTTAGGACTGCGCTAGGAATACAAATCACATTTAATGTGACTACTCCCCAATAAAACAGATCAAGGACCGCAAGTAGAGTGTCCCTAAAACCCCTCCTGAGGCTCTTAAAAGATCAAGGGGTATGGAGGAGTAACTGTCCGGCAGTGAATCAAACAAGTATGGTTATTAAAATGCACTCCATTTAGATTGTCTGTGGCGAGTCAAGATGGTAGAGGCTATCTGATGTATCGACCAATTTGCCTACTTTGAGATACTAACTTCAACAGGTGGGAACAAAGAAATTAATTTTTTACACTAGATATTTGGTTAGTTAATCGGCTGAGAAGACCAAACAAGAATCAAAGTACGCATTGTACATGTATAACATATATTCTAAGAAAAGTGATGAAACATTTCCAGCAAGGTAGCCGCAAGGTTTCCTGTAATGTCGTTATAAGCATACTGTATATGTATATGTATATGTATATGTTATGTATGTATATATATGTATGTAGGCGCCACAGTGCCCAAAAGAGACGCCTACTCTGTAAATCCATTATTCTGTCCCTCCCCCAAGCTGGCCCGTGTCCATTACTGCAGGAAAGAGCTATCGCTCGCCTCACGGTAGTGTGACATGTAACACTGCTAAGTCAGACAAATGTCGTCCAAAGCTTCCTACAGAGCCATTACAGCCTGAAAGCCATGTATTAATGTATAACGAACTAGACGCTAAGTCGCACCTGCGTTCTGTACAGCGCAGTAGTAAACTATAAGTGACTCGGCGTCATAGCTCTCATTTTTATCTAAATCTCATCCGTACTCACTCTAAAGATTGCAAGTGTCTTAACTTTGAGAGTATAGACATGGTTGCCAAATACTATAAGTAACATTTTGGTGCCAAATGCCTGTAAAATAGCATCATACATTGCCACTACACAGAAACTTTAACTACGTACTCATCGCTTCATAACGGACGATCCATTAATGTGGTGTGAACATGACTTATACTGGAACAGATTAGATAACAGAATTAATGCGCTAAGTTGATCGTCATGCTGGCGGTAAACCCAAGGAAAACGATCGCCTGAGGTATTCTGAAATTGGAGTGTGTATTTCTTACAGGAGATACATGGAGGCATTGATTGCCATTACGTAGTTTTAATTAGAATTAGATACATGGAACCCGAAGTCATATATTACAAGTTCCGTAAAATCGTAATTTACTCTCTTGATCCCCTTTTTGTTGTTGCTGGTAGATCCCGAACATTAGACGCACATTAGACGATAATGGTCCCCGTGTATAGGGCTGACCCTAGGGCCCTCGTCAGATGAGAATGACGCCGGCCGGTCCGCCCTTCACGGGCTGCTGTTAACCCTCGCCTCCGTGGCCTGACTTCTGCCCTGCTAACCCATAACGGGGAAATATAATAAGCGTTCATCACAGGCCATTTCTATCCATTAACCACAGTTCTCAGCGCCTTGTAAAGCGGCGTGCTGTAATAGGGTAATGTCTAGCCATAGGGAAAGATTGGCTGATGGCGGAGTGATATAAGTTAGGTAATGGTAAAATTACAGTTATCTTCCATGGTACCCTATCACCCACGTCATGGCGTCCTAGCTTGGTATCATCGTGTCTGAGCTGGGTTATCCTCAACCGCTGTAGAGTGATATTTCACCTGACAGGCAGTTGTAATTGTGATCGTCGGCGAGGGATTTAAAACACCACATACGACTGGCAAGGTCAAACGTTTGACTTCTTTCGGCGATGTGAGATGTGTACAAAGCAGAGAAAGGGATCGGAATTTCTAAACACAGCTGCTTCGCGGTGGCGCACTGGTGGACACAAGACATTTGCTCGCTTTTGAACACCACATCCGTTTTCTTTCAACTTGGCGGATTATTCATGGACCGTCAACAAGAATAGTGTTGTCTGAAATAAGTAGTTCCTTTCCACACACAAACACAGAGGGGGGAGAGAGGTAGTGACGGAGAGAAACTTTCTCTCAGTTTGCTTTGAAGGTATGATACACCGAATGAAGTCGTAGCGGTAACTACAGTTCATCAACTGTCACTCTGCCGAGCTGTGTGCGCCATGTCCATGATGAAGTGGCCGCCATCTGTCGCGCGGGTCCGACCACATTCTGCCCCAGCGGAGATAACACCAGTCTCATCTATTTTCTGACGTGGAGCGGGAACCGATTGTGTGACTCCCAGTCTCCCAACCGTCCCCGGCACCCGGAGGGAATTTAAAAAGACGTCAGTCTGTATCTCCCATGGTTCATGAAGGGCAACCTGGACACGTTTGAGTGACGTTTAGATTGGATGATTAATCGTGTAGGGAGTTAACTCTAATCCCTGAGCGCGAAATAGTTACTCATGAACGTGACACTACTGATTGTTACAGTCGTATGGGAATTGAAATGTGCTTAATTAACAACTACAAAAATGGCTTCTTATTTAGTTTTATAGCTGCATCAACTCGTGATGACCGGGATCTTGTAGCTTTACACGGCGGTTCTACTCTGTTACTGGTCGGGAGTTTTGGGACAAAGCGAACGATGTGAGGACGCTGAGGGGGATCGTTGGTCCGATAAGAGATCAGAGTAAAATAAAAGACGCACGCATATTGAAATGTTTTAGCATTTCAACGGAGGCGCTGCAAATAGATAACGGTAATCAGCTACAATCATGACCGTGGGTGGTTGGCGTGCGTGGGACGGTTATTAACTAATGAACTGATGTACAGTTCTTTGTGAAATGTGTGGGTGACGTGATTGTAATCTTGGGTACTGAAATATCCAGGGTATATCTCAGTACAAATAAGTCTTCCTAATGAACCACACTAGAGCGCAGTGCTCTGATATCTCATAAAGAGATTTAGTATTACACTAACGAGGTTACATTATTACGTAATCTCATTCATGACGCAATCCCATTCACTGATGGAACCATGTTAGTCCACTAATTTCAGAAAACAGGAATATGATTTTTTTTCATTATCAAACACGAGCTTTTCGTAAGCTTGAATGCCCTGGGACGTTTGTTGGCTTTTTTTTATTCAGTTAGGAAGATGAAGATGCATAGAGTACTGTCTGCGGGTCTATAATGAAGAGGAACATTGTGATTGAAGATAGTACTCTAGGCTCTATAATTGCATTTGAAAAACATGAAAATATCCACGCACACCCCATGTGCTGGCAAGTGTCCAACGAACCATAACCACACAGGAGTATGGTACTGGGAAGCAAAAAGAAAGCGTTTTCTCATTTAAAATTAAATCTCATCTATATGTGAGTGCATCTTTTTTCTCAATTTTGATGAAGAAATCTTTCCTTTAGCAATATTTCGTGGTCCGTTAGTGCTGTTAAGAAGTATACATCTTTTTGATAGTGTGTTTTCCTTGGTGGGTGGGGAGACCAGCTGAGTGCAGACCGTGGACCTCGATGTAACCACAGCCTGGCAGAGCGCGCAGGACAGAACTGGCTGGAAGGCCGGAAGACGGCTCCATGGAGCATGCGGCGTTGAGTGAGAGTGAGTTTTCCTTGACAAAAAATCCTGCCCTCTCCTTGGTGCTGAAATGCCATCCCATGGCGTTTTGCCTCATTTGTGACTGAAACGCTTCAAACTCTCCCGATAGGGATGTAAAGAATATTCCATAGAACGACTTTCATGGCATCTGTATTAGTATCTCTCCCATACTTGTACTGGATAACTTTATATCTCAGCTACTTAAAAAAAAACTTTTACCTCAAATCCAGTGACGCCTTCCCCCAGAGCCTCCACCACGCCTGCGCACTCGTACCCCATGACGGCCGGACACTTGGGCGGGTTCTCCAAGTTCCCCTGGCGAACCATCAAGTCCAGGAAGTTCAGACCACTGGAACAGACCAATGCGTGTCATGTTTTGTGATATTGGTGATTGGTTATTATGAGCTGTAATTGCCACCATTAAAATATTGTTGATCGGTTGTTTTATGAACTCTATTGGATGATTATAGTAAGACAGCAATCATTCCATATAATCAAGTTATATTGTTTTGTCTAGTTGTCTCATGTATATTATTTTAGACAAAACACACACCAAATACACACAGTTTATGTCTCACAAAAGGTTATGTTTAACGTGTTGCATTCAAGTTCACTTCTAACTTTTAACAGGGACAACAGCCAATGTCAAATCGTTGCGTTGCGTAATGGCGTTGAACTACGTTTAACGAGCTGGAATAGATTTTGCAAGTCATTAAAACAAGCTTTCCCCTCGGGGGAACAATGAAGGCAAATCGATAAACACACTTCTCCATCACTTCACGTCGGCAGTCGGCATGCTACAAGGACAGAGCTTGAGCCACGGCCGTCTCTCAGACACGATAACGGTAACACTAACGCGATAGCGGCGTTATCTGGCTCTGAACAGGGCTCTAAGATACATAGAATACTAGCGTGCTATTGACAGTTTCGCTTTGGGGAGCAGAGAGTAAAGATGGGGAGAACTGTGTCCGACTTAAAAAGAAAACTCACTGACATTTGTCCCTTTTCTCAAGCAAATACGCTCCTTTGTAAAGATAACCAAATCTAGCCATACATACATACATACAGATGAAATGATGCTATGTGTGCAGGTTATCAATTTGAGTCTAGTTGCTAGTAACTTGCTACACAGTCCCCGTCAATCTCCCATCTCCTGTCATTTTACAGCCTTTTCTGTGATACGGTCGAGTTTTTGTTACAAAGACTCGCCGTTTTCTGTGGTAATAGGCTCCTCGAACGAATGCTGCAGGGCCTTACTACAGGAGCTGTGTGATCTAACCAGCCGCCACGGGGAGCCCGACAACATCTCATCGGCGTTCCGCCCACACATTACCCGGCACATCAGCACATCAAAGTACGGTAATAACGTCTGACTCGCACAAAGAAGTCGCTAGAATTGCCGTAATCCATCAAAGACTTCTCTAACTCGTACCCCCAACAGACCTCATTAGTCACAGCACCACTGTGAACACATGGCATTGGGGAGTTAGATTGGACGGTCTCGCTACATGCACGCTCAGCAACGGTACTCAAGTGAAGGTACAAATGTAAGAGCATCCTGTGCCCTGCATTTCAGCAAAAACAACTCCTTCTCCAGGCATTCTAAACGATTTGTACATCTCATCGTCTTTATCCTCGTTTCTGTTTGTTTATTCATGGATTCATATTTTTTTAAATTCATATATGCATTCTTTAAGCCCCATCCACCCAAACGCCAGTCCAGTCATGCTCTGCACCCTCCATATCTTGTGACAAAACAATATCTTTTGAACATGTTGCCCGTTTATGTATGTGTGCAGTTAATATTAGACTCAATCTTATCATGATATGTTTCTTTCTTCAACTTCCTGGAGGTTAGGGTATCTTAAAACCACCTAGGCGCAGATAGCTTTCTCACTTGGCACGTTAAATTCCCCAAGAGGATTATGCACGGTGAGGTCTACTTAAAGTGTGTCACCGGAAAGCCTGAAAGCCAATAGACTGGGCGATGACGTAATTGTTGCCATGACAACGGTCTTTTTTTCGTTACTAGCTATCCGCGATAATTCTCACTTGGTATCATCTTATACCTATGCCGTGATCCTTGTAAATATTGTCATGCATGTACAAATGTCAGTTGGATTGTCACCCATTAACATAAATCGCGTGTATGATGTTTGTGGTCTTCTGGTGTCTCTAAAACGCTGTGAGTTTGGCCATCTGAACCCACAGCGTTTCCTACACTTGTACACAAGCTTCACAAATGTTTACTGGAGAAAGTAAACAAGTAAATTAAGTAAACAAAAACTACTATAGATGACTATGTTATTAAACGTCGAATACATTATTCCAATCATATAGCTGCCATATAGCTCACATAGATCCCATACCATACGTTAAATGGAATACATACATAGAATAAAAATCAGTGAGAACTCTGAAGTCGAGGTCAATCATATAGATTATTGCATGTCGTTGACGTCAGAACTGCTCTTTTAGTCTGTAAGATGATTATCAAAACGCAACATATAATGCCCGATTTCGTCCTCTACAATATTTTCTCGCTTTGCGAGCTTAGTATATAACCTGAAACATTATCATCATGACGCAAGCTATCAAACATCAAGCGAATTGAACGGGCTGCAATAGACGCTCAACGTTTTACGACGTGTAACAAATTCCAAGATGGCGACCTGTTGCTGCCTACTGATGACGTGTGTTCATTGGTGGCTCAACAACATGTCGGCTTATCAGCGTGGCACAGCCCTGATTTCTGAAACGCGTGTTTACATTTCAAATATGGTGCGTACGGAAGTATATGTGGTAGCATTGTGGTAATATAGAGATATTAAAGTAACACGGTCTTGTAGGATGCATTTCTCTTCACTTGGTAAGTTGGATGTTAATTTTCCAGAACGCGATCTTCAATTTTAGTACCATTTCCCCGAATGAGTGGTGGCTGCTTTTCTTGTACCAAGCAGACACACTTTCTGGTGCCTGCCAGACCAAAGCTCTTACTTTATGACTTGACATTTTCACCATCATGAATAAGGTCTTCACGCCCTATGATCGTGTACTAGTGCTGAATCCCGTGGCGTCGAAATGTCGCGCATACACCATCCGACCGGCAGTCAGGATCTTCTGGTCACTGATAGGAAGGCTTTGTGATTACTTTATTTTGTGAACCGACCGTCACACGCCAAAAGACGGAGACAGTATTAAGGATATTCTTATTACTAATGTTTAAATGGAAATAAACTTGCCCTCAAAGGCATCAGACATGTTTGTATTCATCACGAACACAACATTTTCACTCCCTGCACGTCTCATAATTCATGTTGTCAATTCCTGCTCATCCTCTGAGGCTGCCCAGTCCGTTTCCTGTATTCCTGTTTCATTGCTCGATGCTTTGATACTTTCCTTTCCTTTCAAATGACCCTGTCCCAGCGTGGTTCACGCAAAGTTAACCTGAAATCTTCACGTTCCACACGCCTGACCTCTGTCTCCCCATGTCGATACCTGACCAGACAGTAGACGTATCTCCAGGGCTGACACTGCCTGTGGGTCGCGGTATCGATGAACACCTGTGATGGATGAACGTCTGAAGGGGTATCTCATTTTCAAGTTCACGTCCTGTGGCAAGCTTCAGTCATGGTCAGCGCTACCAGATATTCTGATCCATTTCAACTGGAACTAAAACCGAGAGATTTGTCAAAAACCTGGATTTGAATGCGTTACGATACATCAAACGTCAGGACCTGGAAGGCAAACCTTCCTCCCGTTAAATGCAGCCTTTCTACTGTATCAATCAATTGTGGACGTGGACGTTTGCTGTAATTACCTCACAGTTCACTCAACTGCAAATCAATCAATGTTCTACGCGTCGCATCTGTACTGATGTTGAATTCTGTGAGTCGTGCGAATCGACAGCCTCTCTTACATACAGTTGTCTATGTGGCGTTTTCGATCATTTCCTTTAGGTTTCTAGGCATGTAGAGATTTCTCTTTCCATTGGGATGACAGACAACCGGTGTTGAATTAGGCTCAGAAGGGATAGAGGTAATGGACTTCTTTCGAGGGATCTCAGTTTGAAGTGTATTCGGTGTGACTGTGGCACACTGATGCCATGCCCGCGCTATGCCATGCTTCATCATAAACCTCTGTTAGGCCACAGCAAGTAATTCTTATGGATTACATCAGCGCGCGCATTAATTTTCGCCCTATCGCATTAGATTTGGAGTCTGCAGAGGATGTCATCCACGAAATTTACTTCCAGTGGCCTTACAAGAAAAAGAAGTACAGACATCACATTCCACGCTTTTACTTTACTTTAAAATTTAAACAGGACTGGCCCAATTTGGAAATCGCTAACAGCACATACGAAGGCGCAGCTGTAACCCTTCGCTTACGAATTGTGTTGGATTAAAGGCCGGTGATTTGGCAAAGAGGTGCATCCTCTAGTTACATCCGCACTTCAGCATGCACGGAAACGTCTCCTGGGTTCAAAGTGTTTGCCCTGATTCTCCTCACGCTTTCTCTCAGTCTCTTGACAGACAACCAGCTGCATACGTACCGTGTGCTTCACATTTTGAATCCATGTATAATCAGACTTTATCAAAGGGATCTATACCAGATATCCTCAATACCCACAGTGACGCACACTGGCATGAATAATAAAATTGAAAAGCAAACTCTTCCCGCGTTCTAATGTTTGCAGGTGTATGTAGGCTCGAGCTCGTGCAGGACTAGAACTACATCAAAGCTTTTAATCAAAGCCATCTAGTGTTTACACATTAAAGGCCTTTCTGAAACGGTTATGTAGGTCATATTACTGGCAAACAAGAGGAAATGTTTGAGATAGGGGTCTGCCTGCATTATTGAATTGAATCTGATTTTAAAATACAATACATCGAGAATCGCATTGTCAGATATAGAATTTATCAGTCATTTCTATTTTCGTTCAGCACAGAAACATGCATGGATAATGTTTTTTTTTTGTTCTCGAAGTGGGCCAGGTCCCTTCACAGATCTAGCATCCATGTGCCACTGTCATCAGGTGTAGACTCTCTTTACAACAGAAGCACGTACTTCGGTGCTCCTTCATCCACACAATCTTCATTCCTGAGCCTTGGCAGTCGTGGCTGAATCTGCGGCGGTTATTTATCGACTACATATCTATGAGCTACTCAGTCTCTCTGGCCGCCATCTTGACTCACATGCATTACCAACAGGTCAGTCACGGCATTCAGGCATCCGTCTACAATGTTGAACAACAAGTGCCGGCCAAAGCCACTTAAGTTATACTTTTAATAACAAACAATTAAACCATAATATCTATCCCAAATAGAATACAGAAATGTCAGTGGTTGT